CGCTGATGACGGGGCCTGCGGCTGCCTGCCCAACCCGGGCACGTTCGAAGAGTGCCACCGGAAGTGCAAGGGTGAGGGGCGAGGGGCCTGGCGGAGCGTGACGGCCCAGATCTCGCGGGAAGGGGGAGACGGGGGTCCTTGGGAATCGGCGCGCACCATTGGAATCGTTTAACCGGGCTTTGGGAGTTGACGTTGGGATCGGATGGTGGAACGCGAGGCTGGGGCTTAGAACTGTGGAATGGAATGGAACGGAATGGAATGGAATGGTGCCTCGTCCGGATGGAACGTCACGACAGTAGAGAAAAGCCTGAGGGCGCTCAGGAGCCCCGCGCTCACTAAGCGCGACCCCTGGGGAGGGAACTGAGGCCCAAGGTCACAGGGTCAGCAAGGGTCCCAAGAGGGTAGAAGCCAAGGTCTTTGGCTTGGCCTAATTACAATAGCGAGAGTGGTAGGAGCTCGTTAACGAACGCTACTGTGGTATTCGGCGTGTTCAGTCACTAAATCTCTGGAACAATTTCCTGTGGAGGATTTCCATCTAACTCAGGGACAGTTTGACTTGAACCATGCAGGCGGTGACGTGGGTCTTGGACCTCAGCAAAGGCCCTGGCCCTGTCCACTAGGCAGGACCTCCCCTGCCCTGTTTAGGATACTTGGTGAGGTGTTCTGGGGGGGTGTGGCCGGGAGCGAGTGTGGAGCGTGAAAGCGTCTCTCTTCCCCAGAGCTGTTTCCGATTCAGATGGAGGGTGTCAAACTTACAGTCAACAAAGGGTTGAGTAACCATTTCCAGGTGAGCTTTCCCGGTCCCTCTCCTGTATCTGCGGTACGGCCCCGAGTCTCCCAGAGGGCAGTGTTTTTCAGTACTTGAAAAGATAAAAGGCCAGGCTGACTACTAATGGGGCCAGTGGTAGGGTTTGGGGACCCAGAATCCGGGGGTGTCCCTCACCCCATAACATCCTGCAAGACCGAAGTGCCGGCCGTGCGATCCATCCCAGCACAGCCTTTCTGAGTCTCATCAGGCCACACCTCCCGGTCTTTTTGTGGCGTGGATTGTGTGGAAGCCAGGGCTTTGTACTGGCCGGTGAGCCCCAGCCCCGTGCTTTCCAGTCTCCATTCCTGCCCAGCCCAGAGACCTCTTCTGCCAGCTCAGACTGGCGCCTACCCTACAGCCCCCCTCTTCACCCAGGTGAACCACACGGTAGCCCTCAGCACAATCGGGGAATCCACCTACCACTTCGGGGTCACATACGTGGGCACAAAGCAGCTGAGTCCCACAGAGGTAGGTTCTTTTGTCGCTCATTCATTCTGTCTATAAGTGGCCAAACATCCAGCTGAGGTGGCTTCACTGGAGGTCACTGCTGCTGAGGGCCTGTGGGCGCTGGGGGTAGGGACAAGGTGCACTGGGCTGTGGGTGACTCCTCCAACAGTGTCCCCTGAACCTCTGCTGTCTGTCCCTGTGCTGGGTCGTGCTGGGGAGACTGGGGTGACTGCCACAGCCCCGACTGTCACCAGTTAGTACCTGTAGGTGGCAGGGCTGGGCTGCAGATTAGGCAGGTCTTTGGGGTGCCAAACCGGGCGTTCGGACTTTCTCTAGGGGGCGCTGCAGAGCCACGAACGGATTTAAACAGGGAAAAGACGCTCTCCTCCGATGAGTGCTTGAAATGTAGACCGTAGGCCTCCCTGAAGGGGCTGGATATTGGGGTGGGGTGGGGACACTGCGGGCCAGGATGGGAAGGGGTGGTGCTGAATTAGGTCTTCCTGATTATTACTGAGCTTTTGCTTCCCTTCAGTAAATTATGCATTCAGCAGATCTTTGCATTGGACCCCTAGTCTGTGCCCGGCCCTGAGCTGGGACACAGCAATAACTGAGATAGCCATGTTTCAGAAGGACAGGACAGACCTGCTCCCAGGGAGTAATAATCCAGAGTCCACGGGGCGGCGATGGGGGGCCCAAAGGCTGTGGGAGCCTTGTGGGGGTCCTCCATCTCGGTGGCAGGGAGGGGGGCTTCTAGGAGGAGGGGCACGCCAGTCGTGCCCACCGCCTAGACTGCCCCGTTTCCATAGTGAGACCTCTGACCTGCCCTCTCCCCCCAGGCCTTCCCCGTGCTGGTAGGCGACATGGACAACAGCGGCAGCCTCAACGCCCAGATCATTCACCAGCTTGGTCCCGGCCTCAGGTCCAAGATGGCCATACAGGTGAGAGGGTGCACAGCCCGCTGGCCCATGGCCAGGCGCCCCCACACGCGCCCTCCGGCTCACGCGCTCCTGCCTTACAGACACAGCAGTCGAAGTTCGTGAACTGGCAGGTGGATGGGGAGTACCGGGGTGCAGACTTCACTGCAGCCATCACCCTGGGGAACCCAGACGTCTTGGTGGGCTCAGGTAAGAGGCTGGGTATGAAGGTCAGTGGTCACAGAACCCCTGTTCCTGCTGTACCCACAGATCCATTCTGACTTTTCTCTCCTCTGAGAAGTAGCTGAAGTGGGACTGACTTTTAAAAATACAGTAGTGCCAGCACTCCAGGAGGCTGAGGCAGGAGGATCAAACCTCAAGCTCAGCATGGGCATCTTAGCAAGACCTCATCTCACAATGAAAAATTGCAAAAAAGGAGTTCAATTCCCAGTGCAAGGGGTAAGGACACAGGTTGGAGGCCCAGCCCGTGCTGTGTGAGCTGTGAAGGGAGGGGGGCCTGTTTTCCTTCTCTGGGCCCGGACTGCCCACTGGGTCCTGAGTAGGTTAAAGAAGTTCACATGCGCATGAGGCTTTGTGTGATGCTGGGCACATGACAGGCACTGAGTTCCTGTGAGCTGCCCCGGGGCTATCAGGAGCTGGGTTATGACAGGGCACAGAGCAATCCCTGGGTCATGGCCTGCACGCAGCTGGGGAGCCTAGGCTATGGCCGAGGTTCATGACTGGGTTCTGTCTGGAATTGTCTCTTTCAGTTCCTTTTTTTATTAACCTCCTGCGGTAGTGGGGATTGAACCCAGCGATGGCTCTACCACTGAGCTGTATCCCCAGCCCTTTTTAAAATTCTTATTTAAGAAGATCTCATTAAGTTCCCCCGGCTGTGCTGGAATTTTATAATCTCCCACCTCAGCCCCATACCACCAGACCTGGCTCATCATCATTTTTTCTGTTCATTCTTTTGAGTATTTATGAAGCGTGGATTATATAGTAACTATTCCAGGCACTAAGAATAAAATGGTTAGCAAGAAAGCAAAGTTTGTCCTTGGAGAGCTTCCGTCCTGCTGGGCAGGCTCAAGTAAAGCAGCACCTGCAGGTGTCAGGTAGGCAGGGTGGGGCTCGCAGGAGAGCACTGCACAGCACACCTGGGGCTCTGGGTTCCAGTTCCAACTCTGCAGGAGAAAACAGGTGTCAGCCTTGTAATTCACAGCACTTGGGAGGCTGAGGCAGGAGGATCACCAGTCCCATCCCAGTCTGGCCTGGGCAAATTAGTGACTTAGCAAGACCCTGTGTCAGAAAAAGTCTGAGATGTAGCTCAGCGCAAAGGGCCTAGGGCAGAGTGGGCAGAGTCCTGGAAGGAGGCCTCGCGCTTCTAGTGACATCTGAACCAATCCTTAAGGATGGGGAAGGAGCCAGGCCAGTGGCTGGACAGGCAGCTCTTCTGGGTGGGGGAGAGCAGACGCGCAGGTACCTGGGGCAGGGCCCATAAAGGGTTAGGAGAGTAGTCACAGGGCCTTTCCTGTGAGCAGGGATGGAATGGCTCGGGAGTCTGAGCGGCTTCTGCTGCAGCGGAGGGGTGGGGTGAACAGCAGGAAGGTTCACAGAGCTGATGGGGTCTGCTGACATTCGGGTGTGGAGGGTAAGAGGAGGTGGATAGCTGCAGAATTCTGGGCCCGAACAACGGGAAGGTCACAGAGCTGCCAGTCACAGGGTTTGTGTCTGTCCCACTGTCTCCTCTGTAAGTGCACAGACCCCCTCCTGGGTAGCAGAGCCCACCTGCAGCTGGGGAGAGGCCTGGCTCGGAGATAGATTGAAGATCCCTGATTACCATTTGGGTTGCATGGGTACCTTCACCTCCTGAATTCTGTCTATTTTCCTGGTCTCTCCCTTTCTGTTCTTATTTTGTTTTATCTTTGTTTCTAAGTGTCTTTTTGTTTTTGTTTTTTGAGACAGTATCTCATTAGGTAGTTCAGGTGGGCCTTGAGCTCACTGTAGCCCAGGCTGGCCTCACAGCAATCCTCCTGCCTCAGCCTCCTGGCTGGGGTTACAGGTGTGCACCACCGCACCCAGTCCTGGGCTTGTGTCTCTAGCAAGTACTTACTGAACGTGTACTGTACATGGTATTGTAGGCACTAATGGTTCAGCGGGAACCACAGCACAGGCAGCCCTTGAGCACTTCCTCCAGCAACAGGCACAGCAGCTGAGGGGCGGGCTGGGAAGGGGTGGCTGCCGTCCATCCTCAGTGAAGGCGCCTGTGAGGCTGGGGGTCTGGGGCGCATCCTCGGCTCTGGCCAGGGAGTCATCTCAGGGCAGCTGTTACCCTCTGGTTGGAAAGGCCACTGCCTACCGCTGGGAGCTGGACCGGGCCAGGGAGGCAGCGTCCACTCTTGTCACCCTTGGCACGGGCAGGCTTCACCCTGGCTGAGGGGGAGAGTGACAGCGTCCATGCCAAGCCGAGCCTCCTGTCCCCTACCCGACAGCTCGGCCACTGTGTCCGCCCCCAGGTGGCCTCGCCCTCTGCTCCCCACCGCACCTTAGTGCCCACGGTGCACGCTCCGCAGCCTCTGGTGCCCACAGCCACCCCAGTGCTTTGCCCCTCAGATCCCCCAGGCGTAGCTCCATCCCCTCAGGCCCTTCTGTGCTGAGCACCCTGGTCACCAGCCCCACAGCCTGTGTCCTCTGTGGAGTGGGTGCCGTGGGGTCTCCGGCCACCTCTTGGCACAGCATTCGGTGAGAACCCATCTCCAGCCCCCTCCAGCTGTGAGCGTCCTGTCCTTAGGTTGCCATGATGCTGTGCAGTGGGCAGGACCCTCAGTTCTGTGGCCCCCATTTCACTGAGGAAGGGAGGTCAGGGAGGTCAGTCCCCCGCGCAGGTCGGTTGGGAGCCAAACGTGGCCAGACCCTCGGAGCCTTGCTCAGCCTCCTTCCCCTGCCCCATACCTGCCCGGGCTCACAGCACCCTGAACACAGCCCAGGTGTGTGCCATGCGTGGGGACCCACGGCAGTGATAGACAGCCTGGGCCTGCCCTGGGGCCAGTGAGAGGCATTTCCCCCCAGTACCGGGGGTCCAACCCATCTACCACTGAGCTGCATCCTCGGCCCGCCCCCGTATAGAGCCCAGGCTGACCTTGAACTTGTTACTCCCTCTGCCTCAGCCTCCTAAGTAGCTAAGATAACAGGTGTGTACTGCTGCAGCTGGCTAGAGACATTTGCCCTTTTTCAGTTTTTGAGATTAAGATCCCACTGTGGATTATAGCCTGGCCTTGAATTTGGGGCAGTTCTGCCTCAGCCTCTTGAGTGCTGGAATTACAGGCATGTGCCACCACGCCTGGCTTTTGCCTTTAAAACAGTATTGATGCAATCTGTTCCTGTTACAAAATCCCAGCTGGGACCCAGGCGTGACGACAGGGGCCTGTAATCCCAGCTCTCTGGAGTCAGAGGCAGAATGGCCGCAAACAGAGCCAGCCCGGGCTGCAGAGTGAGACTCTCAGAAAAACCAAAGAAATCCCACCTGGGAAAAACTCGGGCTGCTGTGATGGATTTACCCAGGTCCTGTCTTACCTGGAGTGACAGGAGCAGCCTTGTAAAATGGCGGTGCCCAGCCAGGGGAGGCTCATCGGGGAGTTGAGGAAACGAAGGCCTCACGAAGGCACCGCAGGCCAGGCGGGGTAGCATACGCCTGTGATCCCAGTGACTCGTGGCTGAGGCAGGAGGTTCACCAGTCTGAGTCTAGCATGAGCAATTTAGAGAGGCCCTACCTCAGTTTCATTTATTTATTTTTGTTTTTTGTGAGACAGGGTCTTAATATTCCAGGTCGGCTTTGAACTCATTATGTAGCCTAGGCTGGCCTTGCATTCCCAGCGGTCCTCCCGCCTGCCTCAGCCTCCAAAGTGCTGGGATTATAGGCTCTGCCACCACCCCCAGTTTCAAAGTAAAATTTTAAAAAACAGGCAGGGGGTGCAGCTGAGCACTGCCCTGGGCCGCTGTTGGGTGGCTCCCCCTCCTCTGGACAACAGGACAGACAGGACAGCCTCCCGAGCTGAGCCATGCCCACCAGCACGGTCTCCAGTGTGGCGGAATGGCTGCTGCTCGAGAGCCTCGGGGCCGGGTGCAGAGGGGCTGGATGTGGGCAGGCGGGGATCGGCAGGTCAGGAGCAAGGCCTGCGGGGCCGGGATGCGGCTGGGGCAGAGCACGTCAGCCTGTGTGAGGCCAGGGTTCCATCCCAGCACCACAGTAAAGGAGAGTGGGGCCTGAGCCAGGATGAGCTCTGGGGGCAGAGAACGGGGTGCCCGTGGGGGACAGCTGTGCATCCTGCTGAGGGCCGAGGGGCATCTGCCACGTCACCAGCCTAGGGAGAAGCTGAAGGTCGCCGTAGGGCCTTCACAGGTCAGGCCTTCTGTCACCCACTCTGCCGTGGTGATGGCTGGGGTGGCAGGGAGGGAAGTCCTAGTGCAAGGAAGCCCACGTGCTCGTGTCCCAGGTGGGCCTAGGAGGTGGCCCTGCTGTGATGCGGGTCCCAAGTCACACTTGGGCTTGGCAGCTGCACTGGGGAGCCTTAGCAGGCTCTGTATGAAGTCAGGCTGTGTTTTAAGCCGATCTCTGTCTTATGGCCCCTTGAAGAGAGCCGGGGGCAAGCAGGGTGCAACTCAGTGGGAAGCCCTGGGTCCTGTTCAGGGTGTCCTGGGCCTCAGTCCAAACACTTCCCATAGCACGGGTCAGAGATTCGGAGCTGACAGCTCCATGTCGAGCGCAGGCGGCTTCTCAGTCTCCCACAGCCGGACACAGGGTCCCAGCAGAGCCGTGCTGGTCCACGTTCAGTGAGGAGTTTCTGAGGCCGCGCACCTGGGGAGAAGGGCTTGGGGGTCCCTGCCAGTGGGGCGGCCCTCACATGTCCTACCTCTTGTATCTCCTGTACTTGCCCTTCCACGGGGCCCCTGGGTGGGTATCCTGACCAGGGAGTCTTCGCTCTCTGTTTCTTTTTCCTGTCATTCAATGTGGGGATGGAACCCAGACCTTACGAATGCCAGGAACCAGCCCCGCTCCTGAGCCGCAGCGCAGTGCAGCTCTGATTCCCCCCTCTGTCTTACCCGTGTGTCATTTCCTGTGTCTGTCACTTGCTTCCTCCCTGGTTCTTCTGCCCCCGGGAACCACATGTGTGAAGTGTCCTTCTTGGGGCTCCAGACAGTCAGGCCTTGTCCAGGGGTGGTGTCCCTGCCGCTAAGGGACAGGAGCCCAGCCTTGGACCAGCGTGGCCGCCCCCGGTGTAGTGAAACTCACTTATCCTTCATCACAACCCCGGGCGGTAACTGGGCTGGCCCAGAAGTGACGGGAGGTGGCAGAACTCCCAGGGCGAGGCCAGGACTTGGGCCCCAGCTGTCTGTCGCCCAGCCGCTGCTCCTTCTGATGAACAGTGGCTCAGAGCCAGGGCCCTGCCCTCCTGTCCGTGGTGGGGAATGGGTGCTGGCTCCTCCGGCCTGTAGGGGATGGGCTGACGAGGGGCAAGGAACAAGTGTGGATCCTGAGGGCCGCCCAGGCTCGGCAGGTGGAGCAGATGGCACAGCTGGGCAGGGAGTGAACCCACTGCGTCGCCCCCACAGGCATCCTCGTGGCCCACTACCTCCAGAGCATCACACCGTGTCTGGCCCTGGGCGGAGAGCTGGTCTACCACCGGCGGCCCGGGGAGGAGGGCACCGTCATGTCCCTAGCTGGGAAATACACACGTGAGCTGGGCCTGGACCCCGGGGCTAGGGAGGAGGGCGCCACCCACCCAGCAGCCCATGGCCCCGCGTGACCTGCCCCCGCCTCCACCCTGCCCTCTTTCAGTAAACAACTGGCTGGCCACAGTGACGTTAGGCCAGGCGGGCATGCATGCAACGTACTACCACAAAGCCAGTGACCAGGTGAGCAGGTGGGGTGACCCGTGATGCCTCCCAGGCCAGGCTGGCATGCCCGGCTCACCATTAGGCCTTGCTCCGGCTCCTCCAGCTGCAGGTGGGCGTGGAGTTCGAGGCCAGCACAAGGATGCAGGACACCAGTGTCTCCTTCGGGTACCAGCTGGACCTGCCCAAGGCCAACCTCCTCTTCAAAGGTACAGGCCTCAGTTTTCCCGCGTAGAAAATAGGTGACTCAGCCTTGAGCGGTAGTGGAGGCCAAAGGAGGTGACAGAAAAAGCCATGCGCAGGACCTTCTGTGGGCCGTGGGGTTACCAGGGAGACTGTCAGGAAGTGAGCCCCGAAGGGGTCTGGAGCCAAGCCAGCAGCGCTCTTCCTGTGTCTCCCACCAATGGAAGGCAGCTGGCAAAACTTCGACCCACCCCACTCATTGCACATTAGGGGAGATGGAGGCCCACAGTGTGGTCACAGCCAGATCCAGAACCTCACTGTAGGTGACTGCCGCCTCGTGGGACCCCATGTTCCGGGTCTGGTGTGCGAAGATCACCTCCTGCCCCCTTCAGCCAGCCGGGCCAGGACTTCCCCTACCCGCCTTGTGAGGGGCCGAGCCTGGTGTCCAGAGTTCTGTCTCCACGGTGCACTCCTCCATCCACCTGGAAGGGCGCAGTACCCAGTCCTTAGAGGAGATTTCAGTCCTGCGTCAACATCCTGAGCATGGCCTGGACCCGGCCTGGTGCTGTGGTGCTGGGGACGGCGGTGACCAGGCCTCGTCCCAGCCGAGTGCCCGGTGGGGGAGACGGTGACAGCGTGAGCGGCCCTGGGGGGTCCCCGTGGGGGCACATCTCATCTCACCGCCCCTCCCTCAGGCTCCGTGGACAGCAACTGGATCGTGGGTGCCACACTGGAGAAGAAGCTGCCTCCGCTGCCCCTGACGCTGGCGCTCGGGGCCTTCCTGAACCACCGCAAGAACAAGTTCCAGTGCGGCTTCGGCCTCACCATCGGCTGAGCTTGGGCGCCTCAGATCCCGCCTCCGCCCCCTCTTTTCCCTCCCTCCTGGGGTCGGGGTTAGCGGAAAGGAGGGGGCCACCACCCCGCAGCTGAGGAGGGGTCCCGGGACCGAGGGTTCTGAGCGCAAAGGGCAGCAAGCCCAGTGGGCCTGGGTTGCCCGAGGGGATTCGGCGTCCTGCAGCATGGATCCTGAGCCTCAGGGCGGAGGCGGCAGCACAACCTCAGGGAGAAGTGGCGATGTCCCCGCCGGCCCTGCGGAGCCAGCTGAGGGGCAGCAAGAGGAGCTCCCCGCCGTCAGCCCGCCCCGCCCGCTCTCCCTTCTACTCCTCGGTATAAATCATGTTTATAAGTTATGGAAGAACCGAGACATTTTACAAAAAAAAAAAGAAAAAGAAAATACAAAAAATATACGTGAAACAAAAAACTAGATGGGAGGCTTGCTTTTCTCCTGGGTCCTCGGGCGTTGCTGCCGCTGCTTCCCTTGCCCACCGGGGGCGCCAGCGCCGCAAGAGCGGTTCCTGACGCCGGGTTTAACAGGCGCTCTGGTAAGGGGGAGCCTGGCCCGGTATCACAAGGGCGCCCCATGATTTCTGCCCTGCCTGGGGACGTCACAGGCCTTTCCTCGCCCGAAAAGCGGGCTCCTGGGGTCATTTGCCCCTTGGTGACCTGGCCTGAGAGGCTGCGTAGGACTTTGCACCGGCAAACTAAAGCAGTGGATGACTCAGTGTGGAAATGGGGGCAGAGCTGGCTCTTGGCCCTCAGGTCCAGAAAACGCAGGACAGGTTGTGGGGGCTTTGAGTTTTCAGGAGCTTCCGAAAGGGTCCGGGCTATCTGCAGAGCTTCAGGACGATTAGGGAATGAGTGGGGTGGGTGACAACGCCCCTCGGGTTGGCAGGGCCAGGATTCTGCTGAGGGGGGCCTGCTGACTGCTATGCAGACGGAACAAACTGCGGGCCGGTGAGCACAGATGACCCCTAGTAACCCCAGGCATCGCTCCCCTGTGCTCTTCCCGGCAGGGTGCTCAGAGCTTAAAGCAAACACTTCGGCCGGGGCAGGCGGCCTCCCCAGCCCTGCAGTCTAGTGTGCATGCTTTTCTTCGTGAGACCTGGGCTGACCCTCCTGCTTCGGCCTCCCGGAGTGCTGGGATTACCTGCTTCCGCCGCCACGCCCACTGCTTTTCACTTTCAATGGGTAAAGAAACACCGCTCAGAGAGGCTGGGCTAACTGCCCAAGGTCACACCGCCGGCGCTGATACTTCCGAAACCGGAGGAAGGTGCGGCGTGGGCGGCTCCTGGGTCTGTCCGCGCTGCCCGAGCCAGAGGGGTGCTGAGCTCTCATTTCACAAGTGGGGAAAGGGGCTCCCCTAGATGCTCGCCTGAGCCCTAGAGGGAGCCGGGTTGAAACTCAAGGGCCCCCTTCCCCTCCCCCTCTCCTCCCACGTCTGCCCACCACCCCGGCCCCTCCCCAGCTGTACTCATCCACGCAGGAATAGGACGCCCCCAGCGACCCAGCACGGTGGAAGCCTAGGCTCCAGGCTGAGGGGTCACCTCCCTTCTTGGGGACAGGGGCGGGGGTCACAATGCCTCCAGCCCAACCTCCTCCCCCCTCGGCTGCCTCGTGACAGGGGGCTGGCCCAGCCCGCCCTGGCCCATGGAGGGGCGGGGCAGGGGGAGCCCTATAATTGGAGGAGTCCGGGATCCCACAGTCCTGCTCAGACCCCGTGGAGCCCCAGGACGCCCTTCCGCAGCAGCGGGTGAGAGAAGCGGTTGGACACTGGGACCCCCTAAGGGGATCTCGGGACCCCCGGGCCGCCAGGAAGAACCAGAAGCCAGGAGGAAAAGGCGGGAAGCTCGGGAGAGCCCCTTGAGACAATCTAGGAGATAGGACGTGACTGACCTGCGCCTGGGTCGGGTCAGACGGGAGCTGGGGACGATCTGGGAAGGGCGTGCAGGGCTCCGTCCCCGGCTAGAAGGCAGGGTGGGGTGCATGTGGAGGGGCAAGGACCGGGAGGTGAGGCACAGCCAGGGCTCACGAACTCTGGTTTATTGAGCACCTACTGGACGCCCCTATCCTCCTGAGACCTCCGAAACCGGTGGCGCAGGGGTAGCTCGACCAGACGGAGGACTCCTATACGAGGGTTAAATCTGCCGGTAAATGGAAAGCGGCGCTCAGACGCCGGCTTGGAGCTTCGAACGCGCAGGCAGAGGATCAAGGATCGTGGTGGAGCCGGAGCACGAAGAGCCGGCACGGACTCAGACGGAGCTGGGGGGAGGAGGAGTGGAATTTGAACCCTGGGAGAGGGAGATGGAATTTTGGCAGTAGGGCCAACTGGGGATGGAGACATAGATAGCAGAAGACAAAGAGAGTTAAGTAGACCTGGCAGGGAGGGGGATAGCTCGGTGTTTTGTGGTTGGACTAGGCTGGGCAAGGGGCCAGGTGAGTGTTTGTGATTGGATTAGGGTGGGGCCGGGGCCGGCTTCGGGTGGGCGGAGCCCTCACTGCGGCTGACTGACAGTTCCTCCCCCCCCCC